AAGTTCGGCGTCCATACAAAATAATTTCTCCTCGTTGACACATTGATTTCCCCTATAAATTTGTTGAATTAGACTTCACTTAATTCTGAATTGAAATGCATGAGCCTTTAATTTAAGCATCATCTCAAAATTCGTGCCCATCAATTAAGCTTTTGTTTGGGACAGTTTTTTCCAAGACTTTGAAAATCGGACTTGTCAATGAACCGGAAGAAGAAGAGGTAAACGATTCGATGGTTCGACCGGGGTTTCAAACTACATATCATATTTAAGTTTAATTAATATATTCAAAAATATTTTATATTAAATTAAATTTCTTAAATATATTATGATTAAATCGGGCGGTTCTTAAGAACCCGGCCTGCCGGCTGGTTCAACCAGCGTTTCAAACCGGTTTTCCTTGATGCTAGACCGGTTTCCTAAGAGGATTGAATCGGCCTTAGGACCGGTTCATGGTCGAACTTGCCAGTTCGGTTCGGTTTTCAAAGCCATGATTTTTTCACTATTTTTAAGTACTTTTAAGTACAAATATTTTTTGAATTAAAAAATTTGGCATTAAAAAACTACTTTACAAAGTAATATAAAAGCTATCTCAAATAAAACCTAAATTTCTATCAATATGCCATTAAAATATTGTTAAATTAACAAAGATTTTTAGCTCTCTCAACCTAACTGAAGCAAATGGCAACTTACATAAAGGTAGTTGCCGAAGTCCTCTTCCATATTGTGGACTTACATTTTCAATCACAGCTATTAAAACAATAAAAATAAACTATATTGAATAAATTACCATTTCTTTTATATTGAAAAGCTCTTTCTGATATTTTAGCTTCAACTATACGATTAAGAACATTTGGCAAGCTAATTTCAAGAAACATTATTTTAATATATATTTTTGAAAGCAAATTAAATTTATAAAAATATTTATCTCAATATTTATATTATCCTTTAATATTATGATATATCTATCTATTTTTAAAAAATGGTAATATTTCCACACATAGAATAAATATATAAGATCAAAATTATCTATTTATTTTTAATTGTAGCATAAATAATTTAAACACCTTTTAAAATTATTTGATCATAAATAAAATGGCAAGTTGGCAACTAAGGATTTTAAGGTTGTAGGCTTTGTTTGGGATAACTATCTTACTGCTTTGTAAAATTGTTATGAAAAAAGAATTTTTTTTTATGCTGCTATAGAAAGAAGTTTTCTAGTATAAATATATTTTGAAAGTAACAAAAAAAAAGAAAAATGTTGCGGGCTAAGGCCCGTAAATAGATGAGGGAACATGGGCAAATATGGAGTGATTTATCATGGACCGTTTATCAAGCATTGTTTATCATGGATCGTTTATCAAGCATTTGAAGGTCTTAATGACTTTGGAATTTGATATTGGGCTCGTTGGATTCGTCTCGTCGAGCCGCTCGATTTGACTATAAGCTCGTCAAATTAGGAAACCGTTTGGTAACTCAAATTGTGGTACGAAGTTTCCAACAGCGCTTCGGGTCCTTGATTTGGACTAATTTGGGCTCGGATTGAGTCGAATTTTGTGTCGTTGGGTTTGTATTTCCGAGACGCTTAGTTTGACTGTGAGTTTGCTGAAATCAAAGTTCAGATGATCCCGGATTTAACTTTGAAGTTTCCGGGCTGATTTTGCCTCGAGATTCGTACCCATCAAGATAATTTTTTTTTATGATATATCAATGATCATACATAAATTATTGATGACAACTTAGCAACCGGAAAGGATCGATCATCAATAGTTATATCATGAACTGTTACTGTCGTCTATGAATATTGCGAAAACATATTTTTTGATCGTAGATATTTGCTAACAATTTTGCCGGCCACAAAATCCAAAAATTATTATATTGTGAATGTTTTTTTAATATAAAACAAAAAAATCTATGTCCTACTTGAATTATATTTTTGCACTATGTGCTATGTTTATGATATATCATAAAAAATTTATATTGATTAAACACGAATCTCAAGAAAAAATCAATGGGAACTTCTGAAATTAAATCAAGTTGGGAACTCTGATTTCAGCAAATTTATAGTCGCATTGAACGTCCAAAATGACGAACCCAACGACACCATATTCAACTCAATCCAAGTCCCAATGGGACAAAATCAAAACTCGAAGAACATTTTTAAGGTTCAAACTATAAATTGGACAAACAGTTTCCAAACATTACATGCTTATAATAGAATCGAGCGGCTTGATGAGAGGAATCCAACGCGCCTAAGATCATTGAATTTTGGCATAATTAAGGCACACAAATACTCATTAAATGATCCATAATCAAAGGAGTCAATATCGGCCGTCCATTCAAAACACATATGCAATTGATCTCCTCCTTATTTACTGGTCATGCTCCTCTTAGAAAACTATAAATAAACCCTCATTCCTTATGGAAATGAGAAGGAAGCAAGGGAAGTAAGGAAGATAAGGAAAATAGATAAACTAGAATTCTCTTACTACCAAACTCCTTCTTGACCACTGTCGGACCACCAACCGCCACCGGACTTCTGCCCTACCACTGACTGACGCCGAACTTCCGCCTGACCACCAACTGACGCCGGACTTTTGCTTGGCTTTTAGTTATTGTTGGACTTACATCCGACCACCGATTAAAGTTAGACTTCCCCCCGCCAACCGTCTCCAGGCAACGGTAATTCCAAACTCCGACTAGACTACAGTCTTTTTGACCACTATCGCTACCCGACTACGGTCCTTCCAACCCCTGTCGCCAGACAACGATCTTTTCGACCTCTATCACTCGTCGACTAAGGTCTTCAGGGCCTTCATCTCCAAACAATGCTCCTTCCGACCTCCGTCCCTAGATTACAATCCTGATGACCTCCTTCGCTAGACAATAATCTTTCTGGTCATTGTTGCCTGCCGACTACAATCCTTTTGACCTCTATCATCAGACTATGGTCTTTCTGACCACAGTCGTCCGTCGACTATGGTCCTTTCGATCTCAGTCAACAGACTACGGTCTTTCCACCCCCGTCGCCCATTGGCCACGATCCTACCGACCTCTGTCACTAGAAAATGGTCTTTTTGACCGTAGAATACGGTTCTTCTATCCTTCATCGCCTAACAATGGTTTTTCTGACCTCCGTTGCCCACTGAGTACGGTCTTTCTGACCACCGTCACTCGAATACAGTCTTTCTAACCTCCATAGCATGCCGACTATAGTCATGCTGACCAAACAAATATGTCAATATTTATTCTTTTAATTCCCACTATGTAATGTAATCTATATGATGTATATTTTTTATATCAAGTCAGGGCCTTCCCCCTAAGGAAGGGCCTCATTTGTAATCGAATGCAAATAATAGGGGGTTCATTCAAACTGGGCCATGCCTTGTGATTTTCCCCCTTTTTAGGAGTTTCCACGTAAAAACTCTAGTGTCTTTTATGAACACTACATCGTCTCTTTTATCTGATTGTGTGCTGGATTTTTTTATAAAGCTATGATTTTAAACTTTATATTTCTCAAATGATGTGAATATTCCAGGACGCAATCATTTCTAAAAATAAATAATAAAAATGGTAAATATAAATTAATGTTAGGTTAAATAACATTGACATATGAATATTTCAATGGGGATTTACATACATATTATTTATATCATGTTATTTACATATCTAACATTTAAAAATTTAATATTTTATGCCTATCATCCATGGATCAAATATGGTTGCAAGGAATGAAATATTAAAGTTTATAAGGTGGTAGGAATGAAATATAGGAGTGACATATGTAAATCCCACTTGAAATATTTAAATTGTTTATGGCAACATGACATTAAAATTTTTAAGAGGGGGCAAAACTTTCAAATTTGCCTCCCCCCAACCACCAACATTTATAAACAATAAAATAAAATATAAACAAAAATACTCACAAAAGCCAATTCAATTTCAAAAATAATTTGAACCTTATTTAAATATAATTCGGAACTATTCCGAACTTTGGTTTGAAACTATTTCAAATCAAGATTCAAACATTTAGGCTTCGTTTGGGACGACTTTTTTACTGCTTCTTAAAGCAGCTTTTTAGAACAAAATAAAAAATTTTGTACTATAAAACTATTTTAAGAAGTAGTAAGAAAGCCGTCGAATCAAACACGAACCAAACATGAACAAGCTAATGTTAAACAAACACAAACATGAACACTCACATACTCGGCTCAGCTCGGTTCGTTTGCTGCCCTAAGAGGTATTCATATATATAGAGAAAAAATATTTTTTTTTTTGGGTGAGTGGCATTGTCGAATGACGACTTCATATGGATTATTCTGTGCAGAGATTGAACGTTGTCCGGAGACCAATAAAAATACGTAATGTCAGCGGTACCGAGCGTATGGATGATGCGGTGCATTCTGATTAGTCTCCGGACGACGTTCGACGTCCGCATAGAATAATTAATCATGAGTCTCCGGTTGAGTTTAATAGCTCGTTAATGAGGGTCAAACAAAGTTTATATGTATAAAATTTAATTTTACACATATTCTGCGTTTATCTATTTAGTGCCAAATAATTTAACTAATCGTCACTCATAAGCTATCCCAGCGGACTCCCCGTCACCACTACCCGTCGCCGATCGCTAGCCAACTTACAACTTAAAATAGTCCGGCGAGTCGTCTTACCGCTATAAGTCATGGGATAAAAAAACAAAAGCCTTTGGCTAACAGAAATCATTAGAAAGAAGCCGGAAAGCTCGTCTGCCAGCTTGTCGCTTAAATCCCTAGGAATTCTCCAGGAAGAAGCTTGATTTTAAACGTTTTTTCAAGCGAATTCTCGAGGAAGTAGACGGATTTGTATTTTGGATTTATCGCCTTCCACGAACTAGTTCTTCTGTCTTGGAGATTCCATAGCCAAGAGTGAGAAAAGAAGTGCGCGTGGAAGACGTATAGAGCTGAGAATTCACCAAAAACTCTTCTTTGTTTCCTATAATTTTCTGAATAGAGGTTGGGTTTGTGATGGCATTAGCTGCAGAATCGCAGTTCCATGTCCTGGCTGTGGATGACAGCCTCATTGATAGAAAACTGATTGAGAGGCTCCTCAAGACCTCATCTTTTCTAGGTATTCCTCCAGAATGGCGTCGAAATTGGTTTATTTCTATGTACTATTTCCCTTTTTTTCCCTCTTAAGCTTTCTTGTTTCTTTGCCGTTTTCAATTATAGTGACCACAGTTGATTCTGGAAGTAAGGCTCTGAAGTTTCTGGGTTTGGGGGAGGATCATGGAAGCGCAGCATCCTCTTCTTGTGAACAGCTAGTAAGCCTCTTACCATCTCTATCTCTTTCTGTTCGATTTTGGGGGATTTGTGTAGGGTTTGATAAGTTTTTGTTTCTTAGGAGGCTGAAGTGAATATGGTGATTACAGACTACTGTATGCCTGAAATGACTGGCTATGATCTGCTGAAGAAAATAAAGGTGAGTTTATTTTTAATTTTGACCCTTCAGTGGTTGTTTGCTTGCGTAGGATTCAAGCCATGAGGGATTCGGTAAATCTTAAGAGGATTAAGATTTGAAATTTGTTTGGTATTTCATTTGTTTCAGGATTTTAAGATTTGTGACATTGATAAATCCTTAATCCTTTAAATCCCATGAATGAGAAATATAATAACAGCAGGATTTAAAGTTAAAAAATTATGTTTTTTTTTACAGAAATTAAGCTAAATCTTGCTTAAATCCTGCCTAAAATTGGATACCAAACAGCCCTTTATGCTAAAAATTATTTTGATTGTTATTTGGTTTTTGAGGCTAATGGAGTTGAATGGTTCAGGAGTCATCAGCTTTGAAGAACATACCGGTTGTCATCATGTCATCTGAGAATGTTCCTGCCAGGATTAACAGGTAAAGAACATCCAACATTCCTCTCAGCTTGAATAATTTCATCATAGATTCTTGAATCGTAGGGTAACTCATTTGGGACGGCTTTTTTAATGCTTCTTAAAGTTGTTTTCTAGTATAAATATTTTAAATTTTGTACTAAAAAGTCACTTTAAGAAGCAAAAGAAAAGCCGTCCCAAGCTAAGTCGGAGTTGTTTATCTTCCTAGTAGAAGATGTACTTTGGTGTTTAGAGGTAAATAAATCATAATAAATTGCATTTGGAAAAGTTTTTGAGGATGTAAGGCAAATCTTCTTACACTGAAAGAAAGTTCTTGACACTTTGCACTGGAAATTCATCTCTTAGAACGTGCTTGTTGATGATTATCAAACAAGAAAAAATGTCTTGCAAAACATTATTAGCTGTCTTGCAATTTGAAAAGATGTCTTATTATACCAGGTATCTTCCTTTTGTTTAAAAAAAAAAAGTGTTTCCATGCATCTATTGATTAAGTTTTGCTGAAGTACTGTAAAAGTAATATAGAAACAAAATATTTTGGAGAAATTATTACGAGCGGTCAGTGGACCGTCCGGAGGCAAATCAAGATGCGCCACGCCACTCGGTACACAATGATACACAATACCAGTACACAACAAAAAAGTGATGTGACGCATCCTAATTTGCCTCCAGACGGCATCTCGTGACTGCACCTAATAATTTCACAATATTTTGAGGGAAAGACAAAAAATAAGAAGAATATTCTGATAAAATTTTCTATTAGAAAGGAGTTCAAAAGCAAATGAATTTGCTTTGGGATAAGTGTAATATAAATTTTAATTGATTATATTCTAATCATCTCAAAATGAATCTATGGCCTTTGAGACTCATTCTTTCTCATATGAGAAATGAATCAATCCTACTTCTTGATTACCTTCTAACTATAGAATGATTTGCCTAATCATGCTTTAATTATCCATGATTAATTACTTGATCCTTAGAATTAATAATCTAATCTCCATTAAGCTATACTACTGGATGGGTGCCTTGCCTTTTTTAGCCACATTATTTACTTTGGCTGCGAGCTCTGATTAGATATAGGAATTGGAATAAAGGAAAAGTCACGTTCTTTTACCATATCTGTGAAACATCCCAAAATCTTTTTTTTCTTATTCTTGTTAGATTTTATTCTGACTTGATTGGATGAAAGAAAGTTATATCATTAGATTCCAAAATCGATTGTTTTTTGTTTTTTATTTTTGTTGGGTAATGATCACAGATGCTTGGAAGATGGAGCTGAAGAATTCTTACTCAAACCAGTAAAGTTATCAGATATGAATAAGCTCAGACCTCATATACTGAAAGGAAAATGTAAAGAGCAACAGGGAAAGAACAACAGTAATGATGATCTCAGTAGCAGTGGCTCCAGGGATATAGTAACTACAAATGCTAGTAGCAATCTGAATAGCACCAAAAGAAAAGCAATGGATGAGGGCCTTTCACCTGAAAGGAAGAGGGCAGGGTTCTCAAGAAAAAATGGCAATAGCTTGACTGTTTTGTGATTATTGTTAACCATTTTTGAATTCTCATTTCATTTTGATGATTAATTATTCTGTACGGACACCAACTAGAATGCGACCCTTCATCCTTGCTCGGTACCGCAGCTCGATACTACTGACGTGGTATATTCTGGTTGGTCTCCTGACGACGTTTTGCATTCGGTCTATTCACAGAATAATTTCTCCATTTTGAGAGCATCGTGAGAGTATTTGTAGCGTAGAGATTGAAAAGAGTTGTTTTTTGAAAAAATTATGTCGAGATATCTTTATGTAAATTGTATGAGGATGAGCTTAAAAAATCATTTGATTTGTTTAGAGATTTATGCTTAACAAACTATTTATGTTATAGCACTAATCTTAAAGTAAATTTAATAATTTTTGCTTTCATCCTCATACAATTTGTATTATAAATTATTGACATAATTTTTTTTCTTATGTTTTTATGTTATTGATTTGAGCCATGTATTTTGTGATTTATTGTTCATTATTCCTTAAAAAAATTAGGAGAGTATTGAATCTTTTTAAGCTAAGTATAACTGTTCTTTCATTTTCTAGTGAATGTTTATTTTTTGAAAATTTTGAGTTTTGAATTATAAATTAAAAATTATGAGGGTGTGGAGACTGAAAAAAATAAAGATGAACATTAGAAATTTTGAATTTGATTTGAAATTAGTGTAATATATAAATAATTAAAATTACACTCATCTCAAAATAATTTTAATGATTTTAAAGGTCCTCATTATTATTTATTTCAATATCTTGAAAATAATTTTTATTTATTTTTTGTTAATTCATTATTGTTATTATTATTATTTAATTCATAATAATGAAAGCAAGCACAAATTTGACATAACCTAGATCCAAGAATTCCCTTCAAGATAATTTTTTTTAATCAATTTGTAATAAATTTAGGCTTTGTTTGAGAGTGTTTTTTTAATGTTTATTAAAATAAATTTTTATATTAAAAAACTACTTTAAATATATTAAGAAAGCTGTCCTTAACGAAGCCTTAAAATACCAAATCAATGCAAACTCTTCAAGAAAGTAATGAGGGTTCCATCATATCATTGAAATGAACTAACGATGAGTTTTATTATCTGTCATGATCGAAAAATTATTAGGTGCGGAGTGCGGACGGGGTGAGAACCGTCTGCACAGACACAGGGTACCAAGCGGTACCCACTGGTACCGAGTGGTACCGAACGGTATCGAGCGCGATTTTATACTAGTGTGCAGACGGTTCTCCCGTTCGCACTCCGTACCTAATAATTTCTCGTCATGATCAGCAATCTCATTACTTTTAAGAGATTCGATTTGCTGATAAAATTTCATCTCTAAGAAGATTTAGTAGGAATTAGTCAATTTGACATAGATTTCTTAAATAATTTCAATGTTTTGATTCTGATAGAAATCATGACTGGCTATGCATTAGGATTTATTCTTTGGTTCTTACCTTATTCTAATGAAAGGCAGGGGGAAAGTAAGAATGTGCATAAGTTTATTCTTTTTTTTTTTGTAAAAAAATTGTTTAATTTATAATTAGTAATTTTTATTGATTTTATTGCGTATTAGAAAGTTTATGATTGATACGTACTCCAAAAATTATCTTGTTCAGGCACGAAACTCGAGGCAAAAGCAAGTTGGAAACTTCAAAAATTAATTTTGGGAGCACCCGAACTCCGATTTCAGCGAGCTTATAGTCAAACTGAGCGTCTCGGAAATACGAACCCAACGACACCAAGATCAACCCAATCCGAGCCCAAATGAGTCCGAATCAAGGGCTCAAAGCGCTGTTGGAAGGTTCAAACCGCAATTTGAATTACCAAACGGTCTCCGATTTTGACGAGCTTATACTCGAATCGAACGGCTCGACGAGACGAAATACAAACACTAGTAGAACTTTTTCCACGTAAAAAATCTGGTGTTCATTTCCCTTTTCTGTTTGTGTGCGGAATACTCTTGCAACGCTAAGACGAATATTTTCTAACTCTACTGCCGCGTATATTCTAGCACGCAACAATGATAATAAGTAAAAAAAGTTTTATCTTAGTGATGTAAATATATATACACACACAGAAAAAATGAGTTTTTAAGAGATACAAGAGATTTTTCATAAGAAACTCAAAAACAAAAAAGATAAGAGCTTGTCTTATATGAAATAATTCATTATGTAAACCCATATTATGTAAGTTTGCTCCTTCCTCAAGATTACATAGTATGGATCACTATTCTGGACTACGGTAGTTGTAATGCAATATGTCGAAGTAGTGCAGGCTTATTACAGCGGTCATATTGGGCTTGAACCTCCATCATCTGACATCGATCCCTCCGACCCTTCGTCACCCGACTATTTATCATCCGACCTCCGTCACCCCATTATGATCTCTCCGAGCTCCATCGCTCGAAATATTTAACCTCTGTCGCCCGACTACATCCCTTCGACCTCTATCATCCAACTACAATCCCAACGACCACCATCACCTGACTACAATCCTACCAACCAAATGAACAGGCTAACATTCTCTTTAGAATAACTCATATCATTGTTTTCTTCCAACTCTAACTGTATAATGTGCTATGTAAGACATATATTTACTACATTGTGCCAAGGCCTTCCCCGAGGAAAGGAGTCATTTGTAATCAACGACAAATGCTATTAGAATTATTTCAACTGACCAATGCCCTGCAGTTTTTTTCCATTTTCAAAGATTTTCACATAAACATTCTGGTGTCTCTAATAATTCATATACCCCTCTCTCTCTCTCTCTCTCTATCTCTTATATCTATGTGTGTGCTAGTTTTTCTTTTAAAACTAAGGCGTTAAGCTCTATGTCTTTTGACCGTTGTAAATATTCCGGCATACAACAATGCTTACAATAATTTTTATTTACTATTATAGCAGTTTTAAGGGTTAAAAAATATTAAATTTAGTGTAGTTTTAACTCTCGCATATGAAACTTAAGAGGCATTTACATACATATCATATAATTTTTATGTTTTGACATATCTAATTCTAAATTTTGATAATTTATATTATATCATCTTAATTTTTAATTAATATTATTTTTATGCATCCATATATTTCGATATGATAATGGTGCTAAAATGTTATAGATGTAAATATTAAATTTTGTTATGTAAATACATAAGAATTATGAAATAGGCATGTAAATCCCCCTAAACTTAAACTTCAAATAGTACAAATATTTTATTATTTACACATAATATTATTTAATATCTCATTTTTGACTTATTAAGGTGGATTAAAAAAATCAAATCAATTTTTAAAAACTAATTGTAAAAAAAGAAAAAGAAAAATAGTGACCCTGAACAAAGATTAAGACGGAAAGCAAACCCATCATCCAATTTACTAAAATCCTACAAAGCTGAAATTGACTATATATAACACATAATTTAATTTCATTAAGTGATTTGACAAACATTATAGTGAACGTGTTTGACAATTAAATAGTCAAATGTGATTATGTAAAAATTAATGGCTAATGACGATGATGGAAATGAGATTAGTAAGTAATACAAGTTTTGATGTCACTCTGCGTCCTTATCCTTTAATGAGTTCATCTTTTAATTTTTTTTTGGGACATTTAGGCCGTTTAAGGCAAACTCACACACACAACGCATAGACAAAAGACTTGAACCCAAGACCTCTTAGCTGAAAGCCTAAGCTCTCAACCAACAGGCCAAGATGAGCTGTGTATTTTTTTTTTTAATTTTAATCATAGGTCGATAGCTATCCCATATGGACCTAAGTAGATTGGTAGGCCCTTTTAAGTGGACAATATAGTAAAATGTTTTGAAAAAGATGCTTTAGGATAGATGTTTTTTAAGGTAAACTAACCATTTGGTGAAAAAAAAATTGGTAACTATGGGCATCAATTAACAAAATTTTTTGACTTTGGCTTCATTTTTTGGGAAAGGTGAGTGATGGCTCAAGAGTATAATGTAGACTACTGCTCTGCGGGGGTCGACGCTTGTTATACAATGCTATTGAGTTCCCCTCAGAATTCATCAGCCAATACAAGCGTTGAGCTACTAAGGAAGTAATAACCCCTAAAGAGGCTAGAGCAATGCTCAATTGAAAATGAAGCGAATTATTTATTGTGTTATAAAGACCCTTATGCCCACATTCTAATCGACTCTCTCGAGGAATATGTGCTTCTAAAAGATATTTGATATTGTGCCCAATCACGAAGTTAGTTCTATACATATGACCAGTAACGAGAAAGCTTTCTTACTGCTTCTTAAAGTAGTTTTTTAGTAAAAAAAATTAAAAATTTTATATCAAAAAGTTATTTTAAGAAGCAGTAGTAAAGTCGTTCAATACAAAACCTTTGTGGTTGCATGACTACTAGAACTTAAGAATAATTTATTATAATAGAAGTCCATCATAAAGTTTTTTTTTTTGGTGAATTTTACTTTGTTGGAACCTATTTTTTGATGGATTGTCTTACTTTTAGACATTACAATGTAGTAAATGTAATGATAAATGATGATATGTTTATTACAAATGTTTCGATGCAATATAATGTCTTAGTCTAACACTATGATTACTTGAGAGAGTATCCACACAAAGATGACACTATGATTACTTGAGAGAGTATCCACACAAAGATGGTTTTCTCTCTAAGGCTTTGTTTGTTTGAGAGTTTTTTTGCCTTCTCCGTTTCCTAAAATGGAGGAATTTTTTTTTGTGTTGTTGGTTCGTCAAATCACGTTCCCAATAACTCCTTTTTCTCATTTTTCTACAATTTTGAGAAAGCTTTTTATATGTGCTTCTCCGTTAGAAAACTCCATTTTTTGAACTAATGTTTTTTAAAACTGTGTTTTACAAAAGCA